GAGAGAATAAGAAAAAAAAAAAAAGAGAGGGAGGGGGGGGAAGAGAGAGAGAGAGAGAGAGAGAGAGAGAGAGAGAGAGAGAGAGATAGAGGAAAAAAACCGTATGATGTGTGTTTGGGCAAGAGAGAGAGAGAGAGAATTAGTGGTGGTGAATTGAGTTGAGTAACAAGAGAGAGAGAGAAAGAGGAGAGAGAGGAAGAGCTTTTTATGAAAGAAGAGCATAGGATTTCTTCACAAATTTACACACACTCACATACAACATCCATAAATGCTTCCAAACCCAAACCAAAATGTTATCGTTTTTTTTATATTCAAAAAAGAAAGAAGAAGAGATGCTACTGCTGCTCGGTTTCTTTCATTCCTTTTTTTGATGATAATGATGATGTTCACACACACACATACATACCATGCATTCATTCATTCATTCATTCTGTGTGTAGCTTAACAACCGATGAAATATTGATGATGATGATGAGGATAACGATAAGTGAGTTAAGTGAAAAAAAAGAGGAAGGAAAAAAACAAAAACAAAAACAAATCAGAATTTTCTGGATTCAACATAATCGTTAACTACTACCTTTTGAATCTAATATTAGTAGTAGTAGTAGTAGTTATTATTAATGGTAGTGGTAGTTTTTTAAAAAAGGATAATATAAGAATCCATTTCAGTTTTACACAAAAAAAAAAACATTTATAGAATTCTTTACCACATAGATGACGATGATGATGTTTTTTGGTTATAATCAAACTGAAAAGGAAATAAAGTCTTTCTTTCTTACTTTTTTCAGTGTTTTGTTTGTTTGTTTGTTTAGTGTAAATGGGGAAGAAATAAAAAGGGAGGTTAGTAAAAGGAGAGTTATATGTAAAGACCAAGAATATTATAAGATTTCTTCAATAAAAAGGGGGGTATTGGTGGTGGTGGTGGTGGAATTTTGTCTTTATTTTCTTCTTTTACTTTTACGTTTTTCGTTTTCAACAATTCTTACGGTTACGACGACAAACGATTATGATGTTGATGATGATGAAGGATGCTTTTTGAGCAGATATTTTTCTTCTTCTTCTTCTTTGGTTCATATACACTGTATATAAAAATTATTTAAATATATAATGCCGCTTTTTTGTATATCTATCTATATATGTATTAGGATGTATAAACATTTATATATAAATTCTGTTGTATATAACAATATTTACATGTGTGTAATGTGAAACAAAAAGAAAAAAAATGTGTTTTGGATTCAGTATAACAAATATTACATCATCATCATCATCATTATCATCAATCGATGCCACTATGTTTACTGTTGTTGTTGTTGTTGTTGTTGTATTCATGCCGACAATAGTCCGTACATAGATATCGTTACATTTTTAAAATCTAATAAATAGAATCGATAATGAAATGATAAAGATGATTTAATAAGAAAAAAATTGAATCCTTTAAGATCAAATCCTTTGTTTTTCCAAATTAATCCACAATTTGAATTATCCCAATTATCAATTTATCGGATTATAAATTGATTTTCTCTTCTCTTATCATCATGACCATCGTGCAAAGAAAAAAAATTATCAATATTTTCCAAATCAAACATTATTCGTTCGATATTGATTTTCATAACAGCAAAAAAAAATTCTTTTTACGCCATCTATAGATTCTTGATCAATTTTATATACAAAACAAAACAAAAACAAAACTCAAGTGCACTGCACCCAAATGAAATATATATATAAAAATCAAAAATCGATCCAATTGGAATAAGAAATTAACTGAAACAAACCAAACCAAACCAAACCAAACCAAATAAACAAACGAGAAATCGGCAAAACCATCAGAATTATTATCAAAGAAAGAAAAGCATGTGTGTGTGTGTGTGTGTTAAAGGTTTGGATTTGTTTTGTTTTGTTTTGTTTCGTTTTGCCCCCTTTTTTATATACCCCACCCCCTATAATAATCTCCTATGATATTGCCAATACATACATATATTCGGGTGTGGCATTTGCCAACAACAACAACAACAAAAAAATTACCAGAAAAAAGAGAGAGAATGAGATATATATACTGAAATGATATACTTCCAGGATCCTATCATATCCTTTCCTATCCCCTATTCAATTTATTCATCTGGATAATAATAAGAATTACAGCTATGTGGATGAAAATAAAGAGAGAAGAAGCAAAAAACAACATGACCAAAACCAAAATGTGTAGGATGTGATTGGATCAAAAAAAAAAAAAAATGAAAATTAATACCACTACCATTTATCGATTGATCCACTATTATTTAAAACATCATCATCATCATCATCATCATGATGTATCGATTTTTTTTTCTATATAATTTTCATTCTTATACCCGTTTTTATATTTTTCTGGATCATGATCAACGATACGATATCTGTGTATGGAACAACAATCGAATAGAATATAATAATGTATAATACATGTGTTCACATAAGAATATTCTGTTCTGCTGTCACACTGTATGTGTGTGTGGATGTCTGACCCAATGACCGATGTTGCTCTCAATTCGTTTCAGAATTTTCATTAGAATTTTGTTGTTGTTGTTGTTGTTGTTCACTTTCACCATATAGTGAATATTTATTATTATCAATCAAGAAAAAGAAAAAATAAAATAAAGAATACAGAACCTCTATGCTCTTGATCCAATTTTCTTTTTTCTTTTTTTTACTTCATCCATTTTATAACGTGGAATATATGCGCGTAAATTTTCTTATTTTTATTTATCATTTTTGTTTTTTTTATTTAGTTTTTTGGCGGGCCATTTTTCTTAAAGTTATCGTTATAGTTATTGTTGTTGTTGTTGTTCCAAAAAACAACCAGATAACCACTTCTTTCAAAAGATACCACTACTGGATGAACTTCGGCCGGGTTCGTTGTTCCAAAAGCATCCAGAATTTCTGTTGTTGTTGTTGTCGTCGTCGTTTGTCCGGGAAAAAAAATATTCCACAAATAATTAGGTCAAATCATCATCAACATCAACATCATCATTAACAATACTTTTACTCTTATAACCGACAGACGAATTGATCGGGTCGGTAGCCCTGAATTTTTTTTTTTTTTTTTTCCTGAGCCTAGATAATTTATCAACAAAAAAGCATAAGAAGTTCATTGTTCATTGCGTAGAATCACAACATACATAAAATCGTATGTGTTTGGAATCAAGTTTTCATTCATTCAATTTTCTTTAAAATTATTTCTTTTTTTTCAAAATGAAAAGACAAAATCAAATCAAAAAAAAACTTACAGGTCATCATCATTTGAAAAATTAGCAGTCAAAATGATTTGTCAATGATTGATAATGGCCTTGAAAAAAACAACAAAATATCCGGGATTTTGAAAAATAATAATAATGTTGACAATGATGATGATACAGTTTGATGAATGATGATGATGATGATGAAACTATTTTGAATTTTAAATTTAATTTTCTTTTCTTTTATTTCTTAGAAATGTACATTATTCTGTTTGATTTCTTTTCTGTTTCTTTTCTTTTCTTTTTTGTTGTAGCGAAAGTGTTAAAACAATTTGAATAAAATATATATTTTGAAAAAAATGGGTTGGATTTTTTCACCCTTTTACCGCCATCTATCATTGGTTAAAAAAAACCAATTTGATATTTTTCATTCAATAATACAGGATTTGCCATCTAGTGGTGATAGATGTTATTAATTTTTTTTCACAAAAAACAAGATAAAATTTATCAATTTCAAATTCATTTTTTACTGTTTAGGAATCAATTTTTAATTAATATTTTTTGGTATCCAAACGATAATGATATTTCGATATTTGATTTCTGTAAAAAAAAAACCATTATTGGCGATTGATGGGTGGAGATTTAGATAAATGACCACCACCACCATTAAAATCATTATCATAAGGGTATCATCTTTCAAATGGACGAGTCGAAATCTTTCGTGGATACACACACACACACACACACACACAACAGTGTATGAATCTCATATAAGAAAAGTCACAATAGTTATGTTTTTAATGATTACGTAAATATCATATTTTTTTTGTTCTTCAATTCCTAATCTAAACAAGAATAACAGAAAATTTTCTTACGTTGGTCAATTTTATCCATTGTGTCCACTACATTATGAATTTCACACGATACAAAGATAAGTGAGGGGGGAAACGGAGAGAGAGAGAGAAAAAGCGAATGATGGTGCGAAAAAAAAAATTTGAAAATTCGAATGCTAGTGGTAGTGAGAGAAGAAGAAGAAGAAAAAAAAGGTTCCATCAATTCATTCATTCATTCATTCAATAATTCCTTCCTCCCTCCCTTTTTATTCGAGTCTTCTGTGTCTGTGTGTTCAGTGTAGTCGTATTGAGCTTTCATAACATTCGAAAAACCAACAGTGTGTGTGGACAGATGGATAAAAAAAAAAATATCGTAAACAATCGAATCCAACAAAAAAGAAAAATAAACGAAATGAAATGATCCATTTGGAACAAACAACAACAAGATTTTTTTTCCCATGTCCATTTTGATTTTTTCATTTTTTCACATCATTCATTCATTCATTCATTCAATAATTGATTTTGTGATTTTTTCAATTGTTTTTCTTTCTTTTTTGCTGAAACAAAATGATCTCAAATGATGTTTCATTTCTAATATAGATGCAAAGAAAAAAAAGCTTTGATAAATAATCTTTTTTATAATTTTGTTAATTCCAAGTGAAATCTAAACTAACTGTGTGTTCGATTCCAACAACAATAAAAGCAAACTTCTCAACAATTATTACCTTACATCCTCCGTTTTCATTGTTGAAACCAACCAACAAAAAAAACGCATCAAAACATCCTTGAATCATTATTGCACACCTTAACCAACATAACTGTACAAACATCATATTCATTCAAAATGAATTCATGAATGATCATCATCTTTACAGGTTTGTTTTCTCCTGAATAATTGAATCACATTTTTTTTTGAAAATTTCATGTAATATGTGTGTTTCCATAAATAGAAAACTTCTTTTACAAAATGAATTGTTATTATTGAATGTCCGGTTTTTTGTTTGTTGAACAATGTGACATTGCATATGATTATGATAATGATGTTGCACGGCATTCATCCATTTCAATTCAATTTCGTTTTCCAATTACACATTATTAGGTTAATTTAATTCTCTTCTTATCTTCTTTCTCTCTCTCTCTTCATACTTTGTTCTGATTTTCATCATTTCAATTTATCATCATTATGATGATGAGGATGCTGGTCATTTGATTATTATATTTTGATTAGAGTTTTTTTCCATACACTAAAAAAATTGTCACTTGTAATTGAAAACTTGTTTTTTTTATTTCGTTACATCTTGATATGACATTTGAATCTATCATAATCATAATCATCATAGTAATATCAGATTTTTTTCAGGAAATCAACATTCATTCAAAAGATTTTAAATTCAAATAGTTTTTTTTATGTTGAAATATTTGCTGTTTTTCCGCCAATGATGATCTTCAAAAAAACAAAAACAAAATAAACACCTGTGGGTAAAAATTGTTTGAATTTTTTCATTTGCAATATCGACAACAGTAACAAAAAAATGTACCTGTTTTTGTTTTGTCTCTAATCTCTGACTAGATCTTTGACATCTTTCTCTATATTCTATTTCATTTCTATTCGGTATGTCATTCCACGTTATAGTATAACGGTATAAATTCAGATTGTATATTGCAGGTAGCTAGTTACACACTGTATTTACAATTACAACATGTAAACTTTTCAGCTATGGAATTTGTCATTGTTGTGTTCAAGAGAAAATAAACACCCATTATTATCATTATGATTGCAGAGAGGATTTAAATTTTGTTTTGTTTTGTTTTGTTTGTGAAACTAAAAATATTTTTAAAACGTTTTTCGTTTGCCATAATAATAATAAGTAAAATGCTGTTCCTAATTGTTTAGTTTATTATCCAGTCGAATAATATGATAATTTTTTGTTGTTGTTGTTGTTGAGAAAAAAAAACTTAACATTCCATGATGGTTTTCTAATGATGATGATGAAAATTGTTAGCATCTTTCTATATATTTTTTTCTTATCTTTTTTCTTGAATGTATAATGATAATGATTATACATTGACATTGTTTAAACAACTTATCCTAAGGATGATGATGGTTTAGGTCAGATTTTTTTTCTCTTGGACTTGACAATCCTATATATTTGGGTATTTGGTTTTCTATTTTTTTTCCAAGTGAAAAACCTAAAATGAAATGAAATCTCCATTTTTTTCGTAGGAAAAAAATAAAGTCAAAAGAGAAAAAGAATTTTCTTCCAAAAAAATTTTGATGCGAAGACAATCAAGAAAAAAAAATATGATAAAATTATCTTGTTTTGTTCGGAAATTCAAAAAAAAAAAAAACAACAACGAAATCGAATCTTCAAATTGATGGATGATGATGATCCATTCGGTGACAATCCATCAATGATGAATCGATTTTTTTTCTTCTTTTCAATAGATAATCTATCCATTTCTATTTTTGGTCTATAATTCTATTGTTTCATTTTTGGAAATGTTTTTTATATTTGTGAAATGAAATCGAAAATGAAATTTTTGATTTCAAATAAATACATCATATCATCATCACTATCATTTTTTTTTTGTTGAATGACCAATCAAATAAAGTGTCAAATCTTATAATATGAATTATTATCAAATTATCATTGGCTATATTTCAGACATGGTTTTGAATTTTTAAAAAAAAAATTCATTTCTGTTTTTTGAATAAAGCGGGTTTCTCTTTCTCAAATCTACTCTCTATTTTTACGTTTGTTTACGATGTGGAGATTTGAGATTATTCAAAATCACTACATGGTTGCATGATGATGGTGGTGATCATGATAATTTTTCTACAAACAAAATACATTTGTGATTTAAATCTTTGAATTTTTTTTTAAATCTATTTTTTCCCCTTGCTTTCTGTTGTTTCTAGGTTAACAAAATAAATTGATCAACAACATCGGCAACATTATCATTTTTAAAACGATGGAAACCATTGGCAATTGGCAGCTGATATGACTATTTATTGCTGAAAAAGCAGGAAAAAATTCGAATGAATGTGCCATTTTTTTTTGAAAAAAATCTGTATCAAATCACATTGTCGAATGGATTCATCGATCATTTCAAGTTTGTCAATGAATTTAAAATAATCAAATAATGATGATGAATAATAGTAATAATAAATCACCAATAAATAATAATAATCATCATAATCGTCATCATTCAATGAATTCAATCAATTTAAATCAATTGACAAATTTATCAATTATTGATCATCATCAACAATGTTATCCATCAACAATGATGACGACTACATCAGTCTCATCAACAGCAGCAACAACAACAACAACGTTATTATCATTGACATCTACTACGACGACGACAACCACAACATCCATATCAAATCAACAGACAATATTTCGAAATTATCATCATTATCATCTTGATAATAATATTTCAATTATGAATGAAAGATTACAGCCATCATCTTCATCATCATCAATGATAAATCAAACGAATAAATCATTTATACATAATCATCGATTACGACGACGACAACGACATGCAAGTTTTTCTTGTACCTCATCATTATCATCATCTTCATCATCGTCATCATCATCTTCATTATTTCATACGATTGATCATCATCATGATAGATCATCATCTATCAATATGATGTCCTATAATAATAATAATAATAATAAATGGACGTTAATAGAACCGGAAGTGGTTGGAATAGCTATCCATAATTTTCAACCATCACAATCATCATCATTGAAAGATAAACAAAATCGATATTTACCTATATTATTGGGTGATATTGTCATTATTGTTGAATGTTATGGTAATCAATGGTATCGTGGATATCGTCTATATGATTCGACTATAAATAACAACACGACTCACATGAACCATAGTAAACAACAACAACAACAATTGGGTATATTTCCAGCAAATTTCATTCATGTATTTGATGATTATCGTCAATATCGTTTACGATCGGAAGACAATGATAATTCAATGGCATTTTTTTATTATACATTATTAGATCCATTATATCTACAGGTTATACGAACATTACGTGAATGGTATCATTTGCTCATCTGGAATTATTATCGGTTAAATATTAATATTGAAAAATTTTTAATCGTACGAAATCTTATCTATGAATTATTTGAATTAATATCTACTACATTAGGTCGTGATCTAGCACCAACATTATGGCGTCGTCGACGTAATCAAATGTTGAAAATAAATTCCGATCCCAAAGATCCATTTGCAAGACTTTATTTGGGTGAAGATCATGATGATAATGATAATGTTGATAATGATAATGATGTTAATAGTGGAATTGGTCATGTAGATGGTGATATATCCATCGATGAATGTCAACGTACAATATCATCAAATAATTCGATTGAATCGATGAAAAACATAATCAACACATCCAATACATCTACAATGTTGGATTCAAATCTTGAAGATCTATATGAACGTATTTTATGTAAATTAAATCAAGGAAATCAACATCTTAACATGGACATAATGCCCAGTTTTACACATGGTACAAATATTCTTCAAACATTAAAATCAAATGATCAATGTATTGGACAATATCAAATTGAAAATTTTCTCATCAATGACAACCATCATAAATCATTGATTGAACGAATTAAACAGCGTACAAAATTTTTTCCCTATTATCCAACCCGAAAAGATCAATGTAGATATCTACCACAAATACTTGATTATTACAATCAAATTAATCGTGGTTTTAATCAGAAATTTCGTTCAAATATAACAACATCAATTAATCAACACCGACATTCATTTTCATCATTCTTAACACCATCACCAACAACAACAACGCCGAAAACGACACCGGCAACAACAAATTCAAATAATTTGATTCGAAAATTTCGGCGTCATTTATTGTTCACTATACGTGATGCTAATTTTGCTCTTTCCTCAGCGACAAATAATGGTTCAACATCCGGTGGGAATAGTCATACATTGGATTCGGATCAATTACAAATTGAAGTTTATATAGTTCGATGTAATCATAACCAAACGGATCAATCAGATACTACAACAACAAATTCTTCAACAAATGTTGCTAGTTATGAAGTATTGACTGAAAAATTCTGTTACCGTTTACCATCCAATCATTCATCCTCATCATCATCAAGTCGTAGTTCCCGTAATCAAGTAAATCGGGCATTATTTCTTGATGTTCTTTCCAAACGAACACCACAGAATCTTAGTTCTGCACACGGTCATCATCATCATCATTTGTTTAATCATCAACATTCATCACAACATTCAGATGCATCAAATTATTATCTAATTGTGCAAGTTTGGCGTTTTGGACGAACATTAACTAATGATAATAGTCGCAATAGTGTTGGCAAATCAGTTTTATCCGCATCGTTGTCAACAACTGGTCAATCCGTTTTCCATACAATATCATCGGCAGGTTCAATTGGATCATCAGCTGCAGCTGCTGCTTCAAATTCTCTTTCATCACTTACATCATTTGTGTCGAATTCATTTTCAAGTAATTCCAATACTAATAATAATGGTGATAGTAAAATAACACCCGATTCATCATCCATTGATTCTTCATCGGATTCACATTCATCATCACAAACAGCAATGACACATTCATTTAAACGTTCCGTTGGTTTTGCTGTGATACCATTATTGGAATTGGTTAGCCGTGATAAAGAAATACGGCCATCACCGGAATTATTTCAAAATGAATCACTTTTGTTTAGGATTCTATTTTCCGATGAATCATTGTTATTACCATTGACAGTTCGTTTATATGAAGGTGATCTGACCGTATCTATACTTGAAACATTATTAAAGCATAATCGTCAAACTGTTGGCCTTTCATCTGGTCAATCATCGTCATCATTCTCATCATCGTCATCATTATCATCACAACAGAATTCTTCATCATCGATCTCAAAGTTATCAATGTTGGCAGCAAATTCATATCAATTGGTTGTCTGCGCAAAATTTATCAGCGAATTAATGATCAATACAAACAATGTACAGGTGAAAAAATCAATTGAAAATACAAATATTCAATGTCCAACATTATCATTGGCCGATTATCTCTTGTTAACTCATAATCGTAATCATAATTCAAAATCGAATGATTGTCCTTCATCAACGGTTGATTGTTCAAATAATCAGAATAATTTTGTTCTCATTCAGAAACGTTGTTTCGGTGATCTTATTACAGCCGGTCATTTTCGAAATGATTTCTATTTAACATTAGAATCGGCTGAATTTGAGAAAGGAGGTATGTTTTGAATAAATTTTATTATTATTTTCCTTTTTAATCATTTTAATTTTTCAGGTAAAACAATAGCAAAAAATATTGAAGTATCCGTTTGTCTTATCACTGAAAATGGTATACAAGAACGTGCAATTTATTCTGGTATAAATGCCGATCCGGTTACTATTTATCGTTCACATATTCAATATCATCAAAATTCCCCAAAATGGTTTGAACATTTAAAAATAAATGTACCGTTGGAACAATTTGAAATGGCTCATTTACGTTTTACATTTTGTCATTGTTCATCGAAAGAGCGTGAACGTAAATTTCTTGGATTTTCATTTCTACCGTTAGCCGATCAAAATGGTGCATGTCTTTCGGATGGTGAACATGAACTATATATCTATAAATGTGATAATGAACGTAAACTTGACGATAGCCGTTTTTATCTGCAACAAATTCCATGGAGTCCAAATCATTTGAAAGATCGCAAAGGATCAATGAATTCCCAAAGTTCAATATCATTGAATTCAACAACGACATCATTATCCTCATCATCGTTGTTATCATCATCAGCACAATCATTATTGAATTCTCGTTCATCTAAAGAAATGTTTCATGTGAAAACGGTATTAATCTCTTCAAAGTTAACACAGAATTCCGATATTTTATCATTGTTAAAATGGTCATCATTACAATTGGATCAGGTATTCGATTCATTACAACGACTTAGTCGTGTTCCAGGTGAAGAAATGGTTAAATTTCTTGAAGATATTCTTGATGCATTATTTGCATTGTTTACAATGACCACAGTCAATACTGTTACAATTACGAATTCATCTGGATTATCTCAGCGAACACTATCAATTTTTCGTGTATTGATCGATTTTTTCAAAACACTTAATGATCCGAAATTTGTATCCTATCGTTCAGCATTGGAAAAATATATCGAAAAACAATTTTCAGCACCATTAGTATATTCAGGTTTAATCTCATGTGTACGACGTTATGTTGAAATGGTCATTGTTTCCATACAGCAAACAAATAGTGACCGAACATCTGTTGATTCATCAACGACAACCGTTACGAAACGTGATCTCGAATTTATTCTACGTTGTCTGTCAGTGCTAGATTGGATTTTGAAAATTATTGTTCAATCAAGAATTCTATATACTCGTGCATCCATAACAGGCAATTTAATGATAGAAAATTCGGATCTTCAAAACGATGATCAATTTAAAATAGAATTACTTTCGCTTTTTGAATCAATTCAACGGTTGCTTAATAGTGAATGTAAATCATCCGATGATTATCTTATTGTCGCCATACAAGAAGCGGCCTTGAATTCTTTACCTAATGCATTTGAATTCCTTTCGCAAATTCTTCGGCCATTCGAAATGGCAAAATTGGTTCAATCATTAGTTCAACTAAATAATCATTCAGCAGCATCATCATCTTCAATCAATAATCGTCTATCAGAATGTTTTTCACCCACTGGTTCATCATCATCATCATCGATAACACCAACGAATTCCGCAACACCTATATTGAAGAAGAAACCATCGACAATTATTAATGCAAAATTATCATTGCTACAACAATCAATTAAATATCCATACGTATGGATGATTGATGAAGAAGCACGATTAGAATTGCTGGATACATACATACGAATGTTGAATATCTGTATTGGAGAATCAAGATATTCATTGAATATTCTTCGTGATATTATTGTATTTTTGATTGATAATTCAGGAAAATTTGATCCATGTTTAGTACGTCGTGCCGGGCAACGTTGTATTCATCATCCAAATGAGCGAGAAATTGAAATGTTATCATTTGGTGTGGTTGAATCGATTGTTGAACATATAATAGAATTGATCGGCATTGTTCCGACATCATTCGATCATGTACTGATTGATCATCATCATCATCGTCATACAAGAATAACTGGTAATCATATGGATTCAACAGAAACAAATGATTATCTTGGAACATTAATAATTTGTTTAATGGTACTATTCGATTATATGTCAGCAAAACATTTTGAAAAATTATTTGAAAAACGATCTCAAAGTCAATGTAAAGAATTATTATTGAATTTATTCGCTGTCTTTCTCAATGCATTATATTATTTTCCGGATAATTGGTTCGAAATTAAAATGGCCATCAATCGTATAATGTTACATTCGCTTACAATGTTACGTACAATAATGTCACATAAATTTCTTGGCCAGGAACATTTTGACGAAACAATATGGCGAATGTATTTTAAATTAGCTATTGCTTTTCTTACACAATCTCGATTACAATTAGAACAATCATCTTCATTGCCATCATCATCATCATGGGAAAAAAGACGTTTCATATTGGATGTATATGGTTGTGATATGCGTATTATAATGGGTTTTGAATTGGTTTCCTGTTGGGATCTAATCGGACCCTTTAAAATATCATTTATACCGAATCTAGTTGGATCGTTTATTGATGTAACATTAGTACCGGAATTAGAACTTCGTTGTGCTACTATACCGATATTCTATGATATGCTGATGGTTGATTATATGGCTAATGCTAATTTCAAACAGGTATGTCGCTCTTTTCTTTCTTTTTTCAAGTCTTTTTATTCGTCCATTTTGTCAGGTTGAAGCTGCTCTTTTAGATAAATTGGATGTCGTCGCCCATCGAACGGAATGTGATCAACAATTCAAAGAGTTATTCACTCAAATGTAAGTGTAAAATTTAAAAAAAATGATTTAAACATCCCGGTTTAATTTTTTTCCCGAAAAAAACTTTTCTCTTTTCATTAGTTTATCAGACAAGATTAATGTACAAAAACCTGTTTGGTCGGTAGATGGATTGAAACTAGTTCGATCTATATCCAGATTTCTAACATTATTAATCGATTATCGTAATGAATTGAAACGTAAATCTTCGACACCTAAAAATGTCGCCATGTCTTCTGCTTCATCATTAAAATTACCACAAAACTGTATGGATCCTGAAATTGGCTGTGATGATCGTCTATTAATCTGTACCTATACGTTATTACGTTTTTGTTTGGATGATATTGATTCGATGAACCGTAAAACAATCATGTCCAGATATTTGGAAAAATTGGCCAATATTCACACATTACTCGGTATGTGTTTTTTACACTTTTATTTTCATTTGTTTCTGATTATTCAATTCTTTCTTGATAAGGCAATTTTGCCGAAGCCGGTTTCACCCTCAAATTACAAGCTGATCAATTAACATGGTCAACGGAATCATCGCGTAAAGAATCTCTGTGCCAAACTATGTTGAATTATTTTGAGAAAGGTCATTGTTGGGAAGAAGGTATTCGTGTCTGTAAAGATCTACAACAGGTTTATGAACGTAATTTTAAATATCGAAAATTATCCGCCATATTAAAACGTAATGCCGAACTATTGGACAAGATTCTTACCGAACATCGTCCTGATAATGAATATTTTCGTGTATCATTTTATGGCATGGATTTTCCATCATTTTTGCAAAATTCTACATTCATATTTCGTGGTTTAGAATTTGAGAAAATCTCTTCTTTTACTCATCGTATTCAGCGAGAATTTCCTGATGCTCAATTGTTGACCAAAGTTATACCTACAGATGAAAATATTACCGAATCTAAATGTCAATATATACAAATATTTTCAGTAAAACCAATACCTGAATTGCCTATAGCAGCCGATTTATTTGGTCCTGCCGATCACCAAGCATTACAATATTATCAAACGAATTCCGTACGACAATTCAGTCAAGATCGTCCTATTCAACGTGGGCCATTTGATCCTAACAACGAATTCAAATCATTATGGATCGAACGAACTATTTATACGACAGAACAATCATTACCAGGAATGTTGCGTATGTTCAAAGTAACATCGACATTAGTCACATATTTATCGCCGATTGAAAATGCTTGTGAAACTATTGAGAATAAAAATTCAGAACTATCGAAACTCATACAAACTTATGGTGGTGCAGGACAAGAATCTGCTAATCGACCCGAATCGATTGCACCATTATCGATGCGTTTGCAAGGCATATTGGATGCAGCCGTCAATGGAGGTGTTGCCAAATATATTGAAGCGTTTCTTGGATCGGAATTTTTATCCGCCAATCCTGATCAAGCAACAAATGTTACCCGTCTAAAAGATCGCATTGCACAACAAATTCAATTAGTTGAAGCTGGTCTACAACTTCATGGTCGATTAGCACCGACCGCTGTTAGGCCATTACATACACGACTTTTGGAACGATTTTCAACAATGCGCACCACTGTTCATCAAGCAAACATTGAAACTTCACAAGCATTATTATGGTGTCCAAATGTTTCTAATCACAATAGGCCATCAATACTGTCACAGCCATTACCACCTATACCACAACGTACCAATCATTCGGATAATGTAAGCATTGGTGAAATATCACAATCATCGTCATCGGATACATCATCCCTTTCTTCGAATTCTTCATTAACAACAGCGACAGCAATCATTGCTCATCCATCCAATTTGTCACAATCGAATCATTTGCATAATCATCACCATCACAGCCAACATCAACATGATCGTTTATCATTACGAACGCCCCCATTATTACAGCCTCCTCCGCCACCACCTTTTAATCATCAATCACCAGGGACAAAATCTTTGAAGAATAAACCATTACCACCATTGCCACCGACTTCATCATCCAACAATATCAGCGATCAACATCAACAACATCCAGCTATTATTAAACGTCATAATTCTAATGTTGAACATCGGCCACGATTAGTAGCAAAACAGCTACCCGTCGAAGATAGTATTTATTCCGTGCCTCAATATACTGATCTTGATCTTTGCAATTTATTGCCAGATAATGAAAGTTCAGTAGATGATAGCATGGATTATTGTGATGTTAATGTCAACAATTCGTCAAATCGTAATACAGATGGAACAACGGATGGACATCAATTGGCAAATAGAATTAATCGTTCTTTTTCGATACCATCATCAGCCATAACAATGTCATTATACAATAATGGCCAAAAAGCTAATCTAATCGAATCAGTTGTTGATAATATTGATGATATGAATGTTGCTACTACTTTACCGCCGCCACCATTACCGCCACGATCTTCAGGTTCGACATTAGATCGTTCGAATTCTCTAAATTCAGGAAGATATCGTCCCAGCAGTAATGGACCACCTCCCACACCGCCACCACCTCTTCCCCCAACTTTACCTCAGCGGCCGATGAAAAAATCATCATCCATATCGGCAGCTACTAATAGTACAACAGTTTCTAATGGTGGCCGTTCATCTTGTACACCACCAATCATACCAATATCTAAGCAATCTATCGATCTTGGACCACCAATGGAACGTCCACCTCCTCCTCCATCAGAAATTTCATCATCAACATCTAATAACAATTCTCATTTTACTACATTCGATGGACTAGAATTCGAAAATCTCTTGCTTTCATCACCAACACCATTATCGCAACAAACAACAACATCACGACCAGCACCGATTATTGGCATTGAAATTAATAATAATTCCAATACTACTACCACCATTAATAATAATAATGATTTATCATTGATTTTGGATGGAATAACCGATAATCCGTTACTCAATCATCGTCAATTGGAAGTGAATCGTACGAAATCAAATTCTTTACCAAGAAGTTTACAACAACAATTTACTGATTCATTGTTAAATAATAATCAAAATCTAATTAACGAAAATAATAATATTATGGATCCAATCGTTCAATTGAATTCAAATCTTCCAACCCAAACACAACCATCGCCATTAACAACAGCCACTGGAACTACATCTAGTCTTTTAATTGATTGATTTTTTTTTAATTTCAATTTCAATCCACTTTGTGCCTCTTTTCGTTTTTTTTCACTTTAACTCAATATCATTTTATGAAACATTCATTTTTTTCTATCTTATCTTATCTTATTATTAAATTTTTCTATCATTACTTTTTTTTATTATGGATACATATCGTTTACGATTTCTTCCAATGCTGCTATCTACACATGTACATTTTGCCAAATTTTTTTTTTAAATAATAATAATTTGTTTGATTGACAAATAAAAAATATGATTCTATTATTATCATTATTATATCATTGCAATTTAATTGAAATTTTAAATCGATAAACGATAAATTCATTGATGAAAATGATAATGGATAACAGTATGCCAAATAAAAATAGATATGTAAGACGATCAAAATGATTTAGATTGAAATCTTGATCCACTTGATCTGTTTCCATTGATGAATCGAATTGTTGTTCGACATTTTTTTTCTCAAAAAATGATTGTCGCATTGATCTGGTTATTTGATTTTTCCAAAATTTCATCAAACCAAACGATGAAATTCTCATTATCCAAATTTCAAAATGTTTAATATAATTTTCGGGCAATCGTACTGGGAAACCAGTGATTATAGAAAAAAATGTACTTTTACTGCTTGCTGGTGGTAGATAAATTGATTCTGGTTTAAATCGAAATTGACTGAATTTGATTTGATCATAAGATGATATTAAAGCATATCGTTCTTTTTGTATTATTGAATTAACGACTAATCGTGCACCTTCATTGTGATCGGTGATTCCTCTCAATTTTCGAGACAAAGATCTAATTGTTCGTATTGATGAATTCTTTGAATTTTTACATATATAAAAATCCTAATAAACTATGAATAAACTATTTCTTACCGTTTTAAATAATGGATATAAAACGCCTTTTTTCGGTAACAATGGAATAATTTCATTATCATCACATGCATCGGCTAATTTTTCGCAAGTATCAATAACATAATGTTGTTGTATGGCAAATTGTGCACATAAATATGATGAATAAATATTTGCCAAAATAATCAATGATAACATCCATGTAATTAGATTAATTTTTGATGATAAATTCAATCGTAATCGTAATGGATCATATGATTGTCGTAACAATAATGATAGATTGATCCATAGAAGATTGAAAGCATAATTATTATTCTGTCCATGTTGATGATATAAATTCAATATCGGGAACAATATTAACGAAATAAAAAGACAAAACCAAACAGTCGATGTGAATGGCTGAAAAAATATATTTAATGGAACACGTTTTTGTGATCCAGCCGTACCAAATGTTAGACTATCTATCCAATGTGGATAAAGAAATGTTGTTGCTAATGTACGTTCATATGTAACAAAGATACTACCGATACCGATATCAGCTTCCTATTGTGAATAAAAATAAAATAAAATTTAAAGAAAAAATAGAATCACATTCAATCGATTATAATCTTTCAAGAATTTACATGATTAAAAATTTTGCCAATAACACCGGTCCAATTTCCATCCGATTGTTTAACGCCAAAATCATTTTTACAATCAACAAATATCATCTTAAATTGAAATATATCCGACAATGTTTTTAATAATTCAAATTCAATACCGGATTGATGATTATGATCAATTTTCGTATATGGTAATGTCTATACAGAGAATAAAAAATCAAAAGATTATTTATTTAAAAAAAAAAAATTATCACCTACATTAGTATATGCAATTTTAAGTGTTTGATTTAAAAGTAATGATTTCATTTTGAAAATGTTCAAATTTTTTTATGTTTCAAACAGTTTTTGTTGTTGTTGTTGTAATCGTTAGCAAATAGAAATGGTTTATTTTGTAACATTTACCAATGTTTTCTTTTAGGATTTTACCCCCTTTATACCCATTAATTATGTTATACTATTTGAACTATTGAATAATCAAAAAAAAAAAAAAAAACTACAAATGAATTGTCAATCAAATCTTCCAAACAAAAGACATTTTCTCTATGAATAATTTATTCTTAATAATTTTAAATGACGAAACAAAGGTAAAAATCGATAAATATCTATGCCTACAAGTATGTAATCAAATGTCTAGAATAGATNTGTTTTTTTTTAGGATTTTACCCCCTTTATACCCATTAATTATTTTATACTATTTGAACTATTGAATAATCAAAAAAAAAAAAAAACTACAAATGAATTGTCAATCAAATCTTCCAAACAATAGACATTTTCTCTATGAATAATTTATTCTTAATAATTTTAAATGACGAAACAAAGGTAAAAATCGATAAATATCTATGCCTACAAGTATGTAATCAAATGTCTAGAATAGATAACAAAAAAAAAAAAAAAAAATTCCCATATATCTATTGATTTATCCCCCAATTTTAGAAATACTTCATTATGAGAAAAAAGTTTGACAAATGAAAAACAAGAATTTTTATTATTNCTATGCCTAAAAGTATGTAATAAAATGTCTAAAAAAAAAAAAAAAAAAAAAAAAAAAAAAAAAATTCCCATATATCTATTGATTTATCCGCCAATTTTAGAAATACTTCATTATGAGAAAAAAGTTTGACAAATGAAAAACAAGAATTTTTATTATTATAATATATTATTGTATCACAGTAATTTGTACAAAATTTTAAATCTGTAAAATAAAAGTTCAATTATGAAAATAATAATGGATATCAGTATGAATGACAAAAATATATTTGCAAGACGATCAAAATGTGATAGATTAAAACCTTCATCAATATTCGTTTTCATTGAAGAATCAAATTGTTTAGTATTTCTTCTCTCGATAAATGATTCTCGTATGGTCATTGTTATTCGATTTTTCCAACATTCCATCAAACCGGATGATGTAATTCTCATTATCCATATTTCAAATGGTTGAATTAAATCGTCGGGTAATTGTATGGGGAAACCAACAAGTAATGGAAAAAATGAACTTTCACTGCTTGCAGGCGGTAGGTAAAATGATTCTGATCCAAATAGTAATTGACTTGTTTGAATTCGTTCAAAAGATGATACTAGAGCATATTGTTCTTTATGTGTTTGAACAGTAATCAATTGTTCACCTTCGGATCGATGGGAAATTCCGCGTAATTTATGTGCTACAGATCTAATTGTTCGAATCGATGAATCCTTTGAATTTACATGTGGTAAAATATAATAATTGACTATGGATTAAAATTATAATTTTTCAATTTCTTACCGTTTTGAATAGTGAAAATACAACAGTTTTTTCTTCTAACAATGGAATAATTTCATTATTATCACATGCATCAGCTAATTTATCGCATGTATCAATAACATTATAATTTTTTATAGCGAATCTTGCACATAAATATGATGAATAAATATTTGTCAAAATGATCAATGATAACATCCATGTAATTATGGTCATTTTTTGTGATAAAGTCAATCGTATACGTGAATAATATGGTTGTCGTAACAATAATGATAGATTGATCCATAAAAGATTAAAAGCATAATTATTATTTTGTTCATATTGATGATATAAATTCAAAACTGGAAACAATATTAACGATATGAAAAGACAAAGCCAAACTATTGGTGTGAATGGCTGAAAATATATATCTAATGGAACATGATTATGTGGAATAGTCGTACCGAATGTAAGACTATCTAGCCAATGTGGATAAAGAAATTTTATTGCTGATATTCTATTAAATGTAACGACAATACCACCGATACCGATATTAGCTTCCTATAGTGACGAAAAATAATTTAAAAGAAAATTAAATTATATTCAAATAATTCTTATTAATAATAATAATAAAAATTTACATTATTGAATATTTTGCCCATTATACCTGTCCAATTTCCATTCGGTTGTCTGATGCCATAATCATCTTTACAATCAATGAATATCATCTTAAATTGAAATATTTCCGACAATGTTTTTAATAATTCATATTCAATACCAGCTTGATGATTATTATCAATTTTCGAATATGGTAATGTCTATACGCAAAAACAAAACACAAGAGTTATTAGTTACAATTATTGGATACCAAAAAAAAATTGTTACTCACATTCGTATAAGCAATAGTAAGTGTTCGATTTAAAATCAATGATTTCATTCTGAAAAATGTTCAATTTTGAAAATGTTATGCTTTTTCTCTGAATCACTTTGTAACTGGAAATGATTTATTTAATTTTTCTCAATAACAATTGTCAGTTTTCCCATACAATTAGCCAATTGAATTTTGTAAATGTTTAGAACTTCAAAAAAAGACAAAAACAAAATCAATAAATGATTGTACCGTCAAATATGTAATAAAAAGTAAAATGAATAACAAAAAAAAAATCACTTGATTCATAAAAATCGATTGATTTATACGATTGATTTTTTTTCATGATAATTTTGGATTTCCATTTTTTTTCAAATGTTACTGTAATATGATAACGAATGTAAAATAATTTCAATTTTTTTCTTGTAAAGCCATGAATATTAAAAAGCAAATCATAACTATTTAGGTAAAAATCGATGTAAAGATTGTCGATAAAAAATTTCATTATAAAAATTATTATTATTATTCATTAACAAATGATGTTCAATCAAAAATTTTTGTTCACTTATTTCTTGAAGAAATCGACGTAAATCTGTTGAATATTCAGTAAAATATTTTTCATTCAAACAGATATCCAAACTATTACCAAATATGATTAAATGATCAATATTTTCACGATTACAATCCAATACATTATAATAATGATTATAATCCATATGAGGCATAAACAATAATGTAATTGATTCCAATGATGAAGATTGAATTATTGGATAACGACAATCATTATTATTTTGTAGTATTTGAAATCCAAACGATTTTAATATGTTTTTTTCAAATTCTGTAAATATAGGATCATAGGCTATGAATTTATTTTCATAATGATGATTTAAGAATTTTTCATGTTTCATTAGATGTCGAAGTAATGCTAACTGATACATTGATGATCGTGAACGGGTAAAATTACCCAGACCAAAACAGACAATCTGTCCGATAGTGGATGTGCTTTCATTTTGATTATTAGAGGTAAGGATTTCTTTGAGAACGGCGTCAAAATCTTCAACAAAATATGATATTTCATTCAAACATTTATTAATTTTTTCAATAATATCATTTTCACTATTCAGATTTAATGTGCCAAGATCATTCATATATTCATGTGTGGTTGTATCGATGGATTTTTGTAACAATTTACGACGACGATGTCGAACCAATTTGAAACCATCCTCTTCCATGTTGATCACAGAATCGAATTTTTTTTTCAAAACAGTATCCACGTGACTCGAACGGATATTTCTACAGAATCGACCACTGATCTATTTAGATCCAAATAAATTGTAAACAAGGATTTTTTTTTTGATTCAATATGAATCGTTTTTAATTTTTTATTCATCGGAAAAAAGTAGAATTTTCAAACAGAAAAAAATCGTGAGAAAATTCAATAAAATGAAACAAAAGTTTCAAAATTTTGATACAGAAATTTATGGATTTAGTATTTTTGAAAAGAATTTTGTTGGATAAGAAAAAAATGGGAAAGTTTGCTGTTTTGGATCTAGGATTCTGGAATCAATCAAGATTTAAGAATGATGATCAAACGAGGATGAAGACCTCGAAGTAGGTATTCTACTTGGACCTTTCCCTCATCTTCCTACGTTTACGTTTCAAACGTCGCATACGTTTCTTACGCCACTTGGCACGCATAATTGAATTGTTTAGGGGGAATTAGTATTTCCCTCTGGAACTTTACGACTCGAGATAAACAACAATCAGGATAAGGTATTTTGAAAAAGATGTTTCCAAAAAAAAAATGAAAAAATCGGCAAAAAATGAAAAATCCAACGTGTGATGAATGAAGTGAGCAAACTGTGTGTGAAAGGAAAGCGAGAAAAAAAACGCGTGTAAAGCTATTCTATTTCTATTTCAACATTACCGGATTCATATGTGTGTGTTTAGTTCAATTTTAGAAATAAATTTATTGCTTTAGAATTGATTGATGATAGTTTCAATGATCAAATTAAATACGTTCCAACATAAAAAATTTTTGAAATTCATAGATGACGATTGACTATTTCCATTATATATAGATTATTCGAATCGCAATAAGTAGTACAAGTTGCTATCACCGAAGGGATATCAACCACCTCCATGTTGGTGCCCATCGGGTTTGCTTTTTTAATATAGTAATGATCTCGTATCTCTGGATCGTCGACCACTTCGTACTTCACTCCGATCAAAATGATACGCGATGGAGATTTAACAATTTTGCAAATATTATAAAAACCCCTTGAAGTTTTAACGAAATTGTTTGATCTAAGAAAAAAACTTCCATAACATCTTGTCGTTATTACTATGTCTTTGTATTTCACGCGGCTATATAAATCTACATGTTCATTCAAAAAATTATCATCGAATTCATTGATTGTTTGGATTTCTATGTCGTTCAGTTTGGTGTTCATCTTGTTCGTTACAATGATTTCATTTGATGACGAACAACCAAATAAATTCTTGGCGAATTTCAAAGCTTCACTCGATAAATTTTCTGGATTAGATGATCTTACAACGGATTTCATCGCTGTCATTATGATTGCTTTGTTGAAGACTTGCTCGGCAACAAATGTGCCCGTTTTAACTTTCCTAGAAAACACTCCCATACTATTTTCTACTATGAAAGCAGATGACGTTCTCAATGGTCCAAACGATCGCACGACAGTCGGAAGATGCAATATGGCATGCACATTGAATCGATGCATGTAGTTGCTATATATTTTGGCAAAATCTTTTATGAAATTTTTCACCAATTCTTCCGTCGGCTGTAAATCAGTTATTGTTGATCGAGTCAAATTTGCTATAATGACTGATAGCTTCTTAAAATTCGATAGATAATTGTATGGTAAAACATTTTTCAAAGCCAAAAATCCATAGAATAGGAAATTCTCAAAGTCCATCGCTTTCCAGTTGTCAATCTGTGAAAAGGTTAACATGCGCTTAAGCTGCTGTGCTGGAAACAGAATTGTTTCCAATCTTAAATCGATTATTTTTATGTCGCATTCTGACAAAATCTGAGGGACTCCCTTAATTTTTCCTAGCCAGGCATTCACAATCAATTTGACAGAGCCAATCAATTGCGAATGCAAGTATTCTGGCGGTGCAATTATATTCAAATGCAAGTAATCCAATCGGGATAACTCACATTTTCCCATAATGCCCTTATGGATATCTTCATCATAACTATGGTCTTGGGCTAATGAACTCAATCTTCGCCACTCAGAGTCATCCCTTGACACATAGTCGACATCCATCGGGTATCTTCGGCAACGATGTTCCGAGACATAATGTGATTCGATAAGACACATGTTGCACCCGTGGATCCCATTAAACTGTTTGCAGTTTAGAATGTCAGCTCTTGCAGGAGCATCAGCAATTACTAGCAGCAAGCGAACGTGAAATGACAACACACGACCGTCCATCATGACAATTTGGATCGGTTCGCGGTCATATTCAACAAGTTCGTCTATCAATGGCCGTAATATTGACTTAGGCGGTTTGGATGCTTTGGCGTGCAATCCTACCAGCAAACTAAGTTCTTGGCGAAGATTGAACGGCAATTCATTCAAGTAGCACACGACTGGCCACATTGATTTGGTATTGTTGTATTGTACACCATCATATCCCAAAGTGATGGTAACAGTCATTGCACCTGGTTTATTCATTTGACGTCCACGGTCTATTAAACGTTGATATTCCGAACCATCGAGTACATCATGCAAGGAATTTGGATTCGGCGTATGATTTAGTCTTAATTGATCATAGAATATTGGAATTAAGTACGTCAACCATTCGCGTAACGATACATAACAGAAGTATGATTCATTCTTAATTGCATCCCTTGCATTCGCTTGATTATTAGACTGATGGCAGTTACAGGAAACAAGTTGATTCAAGTCAGCGATTGGATCCGTAATGCAGCAATGACATTTGGTGTAAACGAATTTGTATATGATGGGCGTAAATAATTTCGCTTCTTTAAGTATCATTTGATAGCTTGTTAAGCATTTTTTTCCTATGAAATTGATCATTTTTGCCATGTCACTAACGACAGCGTTTGTTAATTCATGACGAACTTGCAATAATAATAAAATGATATAAATATCTCGATCATAAGAACTAGTCAAACATATTTCTGACAAAATATTCGACATTTCAGCATCGTTATTACCATCATCCTCAGGCACAGCAGCATCATCAGGCACAACAAGATCATCAGGCACAACAAGATCATCAGGCACAACAAGATTATCCGGCACAACAAGATTATCCGGCACAACAACATTATCCGGCACAACAACATTATCCGGCACAACAACATTATCCGGCACACCATTTTGACCACTTTCTGTTAAGGCTTGCTGCCATCGATTGGCTTCGGTTTGAAGATGTCGTTGAAAGAAATTAGACGAAGATGTTTGAAATTGCTTAGCTAACTTTGAGACTTTGTTAAATACTTGAGCTTTACGCTTTTGAGACCGATTAGACATCGTAAATTAATCGTAAAATAATTCACAAGAAAATCACACTAAACAACAACCGAAATCTGCGAACCGAAATTCAGAATAAAAAGGGACAAAATCCAATTCGCATAAGTGATTAAGTTATGTTTCTAATTGTTGCAATAGAGAATAAAAACAAACGGCTGAGTAAAAATTCGGTTCATTGTTGAAATCGATTGGTTGTGATTGTATTGGTACAATGGTTTCCGTCCATGCATTGGTTCAACGTATGGATACTCAAGAACTCACTATCACGGATGCACGATTTATTTCGTCTTTTCATCCGAAATGGAAAGATGACTCTAATTTATGGCCAGATGTGGCAATCTGGCATAAATATAGCGGTAAAGATTTAGATGTTAGATGTTTCATCAAGTGCGTCGGTGGTGAGTTTATTATGCAAACAAATCTTTCGTTACTAACTCAATTTTTCGGCAATATTTTATCAGACGAAAAACAATGCATCGATGCCAAAGAAAATTTAGAACGAGAAGAATTAATGGAATCCAATGATGAGATTTCGATGAATATGAAGAAACATGAGAAAACAATAAACGAATTGACCAAAAATGTCGCCGCCATGCAAGACAAAATAGATTCCTTACAGCTCGAATTGAATCAAATCAAAATGCATCAAATTGAATCGCAATCAATTTCAACAAAAGTGGTATGTTTTTGTTCTACAATAGTGTCGGATAAAATTTCTCATATTTTCTCTGAACAGCCAATTAAAATTGTTGGAAATTTATCAGTACCCATGACAACAATTTATGAAGCCTTGATAATTGGATTTAATAACAAAGGTTTTAAATGCCTGGTGGATCGTGTATTCGGTGTTGGATATTTCGAAAACAAATCATGGAAAGGATTATCAAAAGAAGTTCGATCAAACATTAATGATCTAATAAGTAGGCACAATTTAGATTGTTATATTGCTCTTATGAATTTTGTTTTGTAGCATCTTTCGTAACCACCGGAATGACAATGAATGATTCAAATTATGATCAAAAATCATTAACTGAAAAAAGAAAAACAATTCTAACAAAATTTCAAGCATCACTTAACATAAAAAAATTCTTGTAAGTCATTAAACTTTCAAGTTTTTTTGTGGAATCGCTGATTTTATTTTTTCATTCATAGATATAAAAAAGGCAAAACGGAGATTAAAAAAGTTGAAGAAATGGATGAAGAATAACAAGAACTAGGAAAGATTTATTGGAGATAGTTTGGAGATCAATTCACAATTAAATTCATGGTGATATTAGCAATTTTCTCTTCTCACCATCATGGCGAATAAGGGTGTTGGATTATGTTTTCAAATATAAATATGATTTTTTTGAATTTTAAAATAAAAATTGATATGCTTTACTGATTAATTGAATGAATGTTTCATTAATTGTGCGTCATCCAATAGGATGTTTGC